AGCAGCAGCAGCAGCAGCAGCAGCAGCAGCAGCAGCAGCAGCAGTGCAAAAGCAGGAGACAGCGGCGGCCGCCTCCGGGCACCCCAGCCTCGCGGGGTGCCGCGCTCCGCGCCCGGGAGCCCAGCAGGCCCGCGAGCTCGCGGAGTTCTCTTGTCCAGCGGCACGCGCAAGAGTGACCCTTCGCTGGAGTGCCCCTCGTTGCGCGGCCTTCGGGGGGGTCGCGCGGGGGCGAGCCCGAGCACGCGGGCCGCTACACCCGCCAGCGCACGCAGCGGGCGGCAAGCCGCGCCTCCGAGGTCGCTCTCGCCTGGGGCCACTCTTGCGTGCAGTGGGTTTTTCGGCTGCGCGCCGGAGGGGGCCTTTCGACGGACCTCCTCTCAAAGTTTTCGGAAGTCTCCGTTGGCTCTTGGAGGGCGTCTCGCCCCGGAGTGTTTTCCAGCAGCCGCGCCTCTCCGAGAGCGGTGTGGGGGTGCCCAGCTCGTCCCGAAGGGCCGCTGGAGGACCGAAGGATGCCCCGAAATCCGACCAGCCCAGACCTCCGCTGGACCTCATCCAGGCCCAGAGACCGTTAAAAAACGGTTCGGGGTCAAAACCAGCCCCAGGTAAGGGGCCTAGGCCATTGGGGGTGCACGAGGAGGAGGAGGAAGAGGAGGAGGAGGAGGAGGAGGAGGAGGAGGAGGAGGAGGAGGACCGGTGTAAACTCAAGACTCAGAAACCCTCCCTCTAGGCTCCCGCTGCGTAGGCCTCTACAAAGGGTTCGTTTGCTCTGAGGAACTGCTTTGTTGGGAGACAGCCGTCTGATGACCCTGACTCGTGCCAAAACACATCCTCGGGACTCCAACGCCACGAATCAACCTGACTAGTGCGTCTGGACGATCCTGAAACGTGCCGGAGCATTATTCTTGGGATATTCACGCCTCGGATCAACATAACTGTGGCGCCCTCACAAGCCTGAGTCCTTCCAAGACAGCATTTCTGGACAATTAGTATCCGTGAAAATCTTGCAAATGTTCAGGACGAATGTGCGAAGCGCTAAGGCGAGAGCCCCATATCGAAAAGGAAACTCTCTCAAGCTGTGAAGCTCTTACAGGCTTTAAGACGAATGTGCGCGGCGCTTAGGCGAGAGCCACATTTTTCAAACGAGGCCTCAATCCGTGAAGCGCTTGCACATTTTTACGACGAGTATGCGCGGAACTCAAGCGAGAGCCATATTTTGAGAAAAGGACCCGCCCTTAATCCGCAAAACTCTGGCACATGTTGAAAACGGATGTGCGCGGAACGAAGGCGAGAGCCACATATTGAAAACCACCCGCCACCTGAGCTTCATAATCATAAGTGATGAGGAAGTCTTATGCTAAACCCCCAGCCCGCCCTTTCGACCGGCCTCGGGATGCGACAGGAACGAGTTATACGTAAGGAATGTGAACGGAGGAGGAGGTGGGGGAGGAGGAGGAGGAGGAAGAGGAGGAGGAAGAGGAGGAGGAGGAGGAGGAGGAGGAGGCGGAGGCGGAGGCGGAGACGGAGGCGGAGGAGGAGGAGGAGGGGGAGGGGGAGGAGGAGGAGGAGGAGGAGGAGAGAGGAGGAGGAGAGGAGAGGAGGATAACTAGGAGGAGGAGGAGGAGGGGTGGGGAGGAGGATCGCAGAGGATGGAGGATGCAAAGGGGATAATGATGATGATGAAGAGGAGGAAAAGGAGGAAGAAGGGGAAGAGGAGGAGGATGAGTTGGAGGGGAGAAGGAGGATGAGGAAGAAGAGGAGCAGGAGGAGGAGGAGGAGGAAGAGGAGGGGGAGAGGAGGAGGAGGAACAGGGCGAGGAGGGGTGGGTGGGGTAAGGAGGAGGACGGGGAGGGGGGGAAGCAGGTGGAGGATGAGGAGGACGACGAGGATGACTAGGAGGACGAGGGATCTGATCATGATGATTATTATGCTGGTGATGGCGGTGGTAGTGATGATGATGCTTATGATGATGATGAGGAGGATGATAATGACGATCATGAGGATGATGATGCTGACGATGCTGATGCTGATGCAATGGTAATCTGATGATGGAAGTGGTGGTGGCGGTGATGATGGTGCTGATGATGATGATGGCCATGCTGATGCTGATGATGATGCTGCTGTTGAAAATGATGATTGTGCTGATGACGATGGCGACCACGATGGCGACAACGATGACGATGATAATGCTGATGATGACGATGATGACTATCATGATGTTTGTGATCGTGGTGATGTTGACGACGTTGATGCTGATGCAGATGCTGATGATGCTGATGAACATGATGCTGAGGATGATGATTATGCTGATGATGATGCGGTGACGATGTGATGATGCTGGTGGTGGTGGTGGTGATGATGATGATGATGCGGATGATGATGCTGATGACGATGACGATGATGCCGATTGTGATGCTGATGATGACGATGATGACGATGCTGATGCTGATGATGATGATGATGATGAGGATGATGAGGATGATGCTGACGCCGATGATGCTGAGTCTGATGCTGGTGATGAAGCTGATAAACATGATGCGGCTGCTGATGATGATGCTGCTGCTGTTGATTATGATGATGATGCTGATGATGATGCTGATGACAATTGCGACCACGAGGGCGACAACGATGACGACGGCAATGCTGATGATGACGATGATGACTATGATGATGGTTGCGATGCTGATGATGTTGGCGGTAACGATGACGATTCCGACACCGATGATAATAACCATGCTGGTAGCGATGCTGGGGATGATGGTGATGATGATGATGATGATGCTGATGATGCTGATGATGCTGACGATGGTGCGGATGATGATGTTGGAACTGTTACCGATGATGATGCTGACGATGATGCTGATGATGGTGATGGTGATGGTAGTGGTGGTAATGATGCTGCTGATGCTGGTTATGCTGATGACGATGATCCTGATGGTGTCGATGCCGAGGGTGATAAGGAATCTGCATGCGATGATGCCGCTGATGATGACGACGATGATTCTGCTGCTGATGATAGTAATGATCAGATGATGCTGCTGCTGATGATGATGAATATGATGATGACGATGATGATGATGATGATGATGATGCTGATGATCATTACGATGATCTTGATGTTGATTATGATGGTGATGCTAGTGATGATGATGGTGATGATGATGATGATGATGACGATGATGACATACTGGCGCTAATGCTGACGCTGATGCTGATGGTGACGCGGATGGTGACGGTGATGCCGATAAGTATGATGATGAGGGTGGTGACGATGACGATGAGGGGCAGGAGGAGGAGGAGGACGAGGAAGATGAGGAAGCTGAGGAGGAGGAGGAGGAGAAGGCGGAGGAGACGGAGGCTGAGTATGAGGTGGGAAAGGGGGGGGAGAAGGGGGAGGATAGGTGGTCAGGATGTGTGCGTGTGCGTGTGTCTGTGTGGGGGGGGGGGAGGAGGAAGAGGAGATGGACGACGACGAGGAGGACTAGGAGAACGAGGGCGATGGTGATATGATGGGGGTGTTTGTGAGGATTGTCATGATGGTAATGTGGATTGCGGTTCTTCTGATGATGTTGATGATGTTGATGATGGTAGTGATGGTGATGGTGATGATGACGATATTGATGATGATAATTCTGATGATGGTGATGATGATGGAACGGATGACGATTTCGGCAGTGACGATGACGGTGATGTTGACCCGGAAGGTAACGAATGCGGAAATGATGGCGGCTGTGTTGGTGACGGTGATGTTGTTGATGATGCCGTTGCTGATGATTAAGCTGACGATGATGATGATGATGCCGATGCTGATGCTGATGATGATGATGAAGATGATGACGATGATGATGGCGAGGACAGCGACGATGACGATGACGACGACGGCGCTGCTGCTGATGATGATGATGCTGATGGTGATGATGGTGATGATGGTGGTGGTGGTGATGACGGTGATGATGAGCAGGAGGATGACGGCGACGATGATGATGGGGATGATGGTGAGTTTTGTTGTTGATGCTCCTATAGTAGTTGTTGTTGTTGTTGTTGTTGGTCTCGGTGGTGGTGTTTGTGAGGTAGGTGATGGTGCTAGTGCTGATACTGATGCTGATGCTGCTGCTGACGATGAGGAGGAGGAGGATTAGGAGGAAGAGGAGGGTAAGGAAGGGGAAGGACGAGGAGGACGAAGTGGAGGAGGAAGAAGAAGCCGAAGAAGAGCAGGAGGAACAAGAAGAAGAGTACTACTACGAAGACGAACAATAATGAAAATTATAATAATGATAATGACACTGATGATGCTAATGAGGAGGAGGAGGAGGAGGTTTGAGCGTTTCGAAAGATCTCTAGTGTGCAGGCAGTGCCCCCCCACGAGAAGTCGGCGCGGTCGGTGCCGCAGTCGGGCAGTGCTGCACGAAATGGTCTGTTCAAACCTTGGGGCGCTTGAGGTGACATTGGTCCTCGCTTGGGTCTTGTGCTAGCGTAGTCAGCACAGATGTATGACCGGATCGCCAGGGAGAAAGAAGAGTGAGAGATTGAACGAGAGATGGGGAGACGCTCTCGGACGGGACTGTGGGTCCCAGAAGGGGGCAGGGAGGGGGAGGGAAGATAGGGCGGCGTGGATGATGTGGTGAAGATCGATCCGGGCAAGTCTGCATTAGCAGGGGACTGAACATCCCATTGCTTCTCGGTTAGTTCAATCACGGGAAACAGCCTTGTCGAGCCAATCTATTTGATTGAATGACGATTCCAGCCGGCTCGGTCCGATTCGATTCTTGTATCCGATGATCTGACGCGGCCCGATGTTTGCATTGCGCTACTGTGCATCCTGGTGCAGCCGATCCGATTCGATTTCGAATCCGTCCCGATGCACATGTCGGCGTGTTTCGACTTTCCGATTCGAGGCTGGTCGATCCTGGTGTGCATCATAAATCTTCGTTTCGGCACCTAGTGGCCGTTCCGGCTCAGCCTAGTCAGCTCCGACGCCCGCCGGGGTCAGGGAGACTGGCGCTATGTTCCACTTACGTGTCACTGCCTGGGCGCAGAAACTTCTCGCGATGGCCATTGTCCTCGGGCTGCCGAGCCCCGCGGACTCCGAGGCCTTCTCCAGGACTGCATGCGTCGGCTCGCCGTCGAGGTACCCGGACGACGAGCGAGACCGCGTCAAGGTCTTCGAGGAGCTGCACGGCGAGTGGCCGCCACCGTGGACGTACCCCGGGGGAAGGCCGCGGGCGGAGACGGAGACGGCAGGCTGGGCGAAGATGATGGAGGACTTCGAGAGCAGAACAGAAAATACAAACAGAGAACAGCAACAACGAACAACCAACACTTAAACATCCAGAGCAACAGCAAAACCGGAGGACCTCGAGAGCGGGGTCCGCGCCCTGGAGGGTAAGCTTCAGTGGGAGAAGTGGCTCGACGTGGCGCAGATGCACCTGGCCAAGAACTACAGCGCCAAAGGGTATCACCGCGCCGAGCTCGACGCGCACCTCCACGGCCAGATCCTGGACCTGTTCAGGAAGTCGTACGTTCCCGGATCGCGCCGCGAGGGGCAGGTGGCCCACTACATCCACGGCGAGCGCGAGATGTGGCATATCGGGAAGCTGGGCCGAAAACTCACCGACCAGCTCCTCAACGAGATCAGGCGCAAGGTCGCGGAGTGGCTCGACTTGGACACCCGTGACCTGGTGCAGACATCCTACTACGGGTTTCGGGTCTTCCGGAACGGCTCCGTGATGGAGCCGCACGTGGAGAGAGTGTCTACCCACGTGTTGACGGCTGCCTACTGCCTGGACGTCAAGCAGGATCAGGGTTCCGAAATGATAGTGGGTAACCGGCGACAGGAGGTGTACATATCAGGAGGGGAAACACACACATAGACACGATTAATCGTCGATTCCTCAGACAATATGGGAAAATATGGGAAGTGGGGGGGAAGAGAGAAACCCAGAACATATGGGAAAATATGGGGAATCATTTTATTTGTGTGTGTATTTATGTGTGTGTCCCAGGGCCCCTTCAACATAAGCACCAGCCCTGGCCGTGCCCACCCTGTTCCCAGAGCTGGTGTGCGGGCCTCCCCGGCCAGGCCAGGCGGGCGCGTGCATCGATCTTGGTCCAATGATTGGCCTGGGCAGGGCCAGTCTACGCGCGTAGTTGGCGCTCATGTGCAACAACGCGGGATCTTTATATATACACATCTATATAACTATATACACAGCATTCGATAAACTATATATATATATATGCCATATATAACTATATAACTATACATAACTATATACACCATATATATAACTATATTATATATATATATATATATCATATATGTAACTATAGAGCTATATAGCGGAATTCTTTATCTATTTATATATATATATGTATAACTAAATGTAGCTACATCACTATATAACTATATACACAACATTCTATGTATAACAAGAGACAAAGCAAAGGAGCAGGGCGCGGAGCCTTGGCTCGCTGGCCACGAGGTCGGCATTGACGGTGAGAGCGCGTGGGTGGACCTGCGCCCTGGCGAGCTGCTGCTTTACGAGTCGGCGAAGATGCCGCACTCGCGCCCGTCGCCCTTCGTCGGGGAGCACTACGCCGTGCTGAACGTCTACTTCACTCCGAAGGACTTCGAAGACGGAGAAGCCGCAGACGCACGCACGCCCGGAAGCCTGCGCGGATCCCTTGGAGCGGCGCTGGGCCCCTTTCCCCTGGCGCGTGCAGCGCGCCGGGGGGCGGGGCTGCAGGCAGGCGCCGCCAGTGGCGGTCCAGCGCTGGCCCGAGGAGCCCGCGCGGACTTCCCATGGCTTGGCTCTCCAGGACTGGAGGCTCGAGGAGTGGGACCGCATGTACGCGGTGCCCCAGGACTTCCAGGGCCAGAGGATGACGCGCATCCAGCCCTTCCCACCCGAGCTGTGACGTGGGCCGCCCTCCAGAGTCCTCCGGAGTGCCAGCGGGCCGCAGGAGAGAACTCGTGTGCTGCCGAAGGTGTCCCCGGACGCAGGTGCCCCCCCAGGGTGCCCCAGAAAGGCCCAGATGGCCTCCAGAGCACCCCCCGACGAGGCTTAGGTCGGGCATGTCCTCCCATAGGCGGATTTTGGAAGAAACGCAAAAAGGAGTCCAAACATATGCAACAATACTCAAGGGAGCACGATGATTCGTCACCCGACGATTTGTTTACTATTCTTGAATGCTCCTCCTGTGGAGGGACATGCCCGACTTAGACACGAGGCCCAGAGGGCCCCCCAGGGGGCTCCAAGACGGAGCGAACCAAGAGCCAGGGACACCCTGGAGGCAGCACCCGAAGAGAGGAGGACAGCGGAGGCGGCGTGCGGAAGAGCAGCTCCCCGCAGGACAGGCGCATGAGGGACTGAGGGCAGAGGGAGGGAGGGCAGAGGAGGAGGGAGGGAGGGAGGGAGGGAGGAGGGAGGGGAGGGAGGGGAGGGGAGGGAGGGAGGGAGGGAGGGAGGAGGGAGGAGGGAGGGAGGGAGGGAGGGAGGGAGGGAGGGAGGGAGGGAGGGAGGGAGGGAGGGAGGAGGAGGAGGAGGAGGAGGAGGAGGAGGAGGAGGAGGTAGGAGTCAGAAGGCTGGAGGAGGGAGCAGGGACGATTGTTGCGCGCTCGGCCACGTGCGAGGAGGGATGAGGGAGGAGGAGGAGGAGGAGGAGCAGGACGAGCAAATATAGCAGGAGGAGTATCGGGGAGGAGGAGGACAGGGGAGGATGGAGGAGAGGGATGCTAGTGGCAGAAAGGGCTGATGATGAAGGACTATGGGGGATAGTGGATAAACCTGGAGGAGGATGACGATGATGGTGTCCGTGGTGGTGATGATGCTGGTGCTGTTGATGATGGTGGTGATGGTGTTGATGGTGATGATGCTGCTTTGTGATCGAGGTGGTGGTGGGGGTGATGATGACGATGGCATGGCGATGGCGATGACGCCGGCGATGATGATGGGGATGATGCTGCTGTTGATGATGCTGATGATGCTGATGCTGCTGATACTGATGACGATGATGATGATGATGATGATGATGATGATGATGATGATGATGATGATGATGATGATGATGATGATGATGATGAGGGCGACGACGACGTTCTTGAGGAGGGCGATCATGATGACGATGCTGACGATGATGACGATGCTGAGGAGGATGATGATGATGATGGTGATGATGATGATGATGGTGATGGTGATGGTGGAGATGATGAGGATGAGGATGATGATGTTGATGGTGGTGGCGACTGTGCTTATGACGATGATGACGAGGAGGAGGAGGGGGGTAATGATGCTGATGATGCTGACGATGCTGCTGATAATGATGGCGATGATGGGATACCGCTGATGATGATGCTGCCGATGATGATGATGCAGCTGCTGATGATGACGATTATTATGCTTATGGTTCGGATTCTGATGGTGATGATGGTGGTGGTGACGATGTTGCTGCAGTTGGCGTTGATGGCGTTTGCTGTGATGATGCGAATGATGAGTATGATAATGATGATACTGACGTTGTTGATATTAATGATGATGTTGCCAAGGATGATGATGATGATGCTGATGATGATGATGATGATGATGATGACGATGACGATGACGATGACGATGGTGTTGCTGATGATGATGGTGCTAATGCTGAGTATGAATGTTGATGCGAATGATACTGTTGATGAGGACTATGTTGATGCTGATGATGTGGAAGACGACGGTGTTGATGCTGATGCTGAGTATGGTTGTGATGATTGTGCTGTTGTTGCGGAGGAGGCTGCTGATGATGGTGCTGATGATGATACTGGTGATTGTGATTGTGCTGGTGTTGATGATGCTGATGCTGATGCTGATGATGATGGAGATGCTGATGATACTGATGATGAGGACGATGTTGATGCAGATGCTGCTGATGATGATGCTGCTGCTGCTCCTGCTGATGATGATGCTGATGGTGCTGATGATGCTGCTGATGATGAGATGATAGTGGGAATGTGGATGATACTGATGATGATGTTGCTGATGTTGCTGATTCTGGTTATGATGATGCAAGTGGCGATGATGATGGGGATGCTGATGGTACGTATGCTGCTGATGCTGATGATGATGCTGACGATGATGATGGCGACGACGATGTTCTTGAGGATGACGATGATGATGACCATGATTTTGCTGATGATGGTGATGATGATTATTATGATGCGATGCTGCCGATGATGATGCTGATGGTGGTGGTTATGATGGTGATGATGATGATGATGATGATGATGATGATGATGATGATGATGATGATGATGATGATGGTGTTGATGATGATGCTGCTGCTGATGATGATGACGATGCTGATACTGATGATACTGATGATGATGCTGCTGATGATGATGATGATGGTGAGGAGGAGGAGGAGGAGGAGGAGGAGGAGGAGGAAGAGGAGATACGGTAGGTAGGGGCGCTTTGGGGTCGCAGCCCCGAAGGCTTGACAGGCCAGTCTGACCGTGGGCCGTATGGATGCAGGGCTTCCCTACTTGATGTCAGGGCCTGCCTGCCAGAGGCGGCAGGGCTCTCCTGGCCTGGCCGCCGCTGCGTCGGCGGAGGGACGCTCCGAACTGCAGAGGGCGCGTGAGCAAAGGAGAGGGCCGCAGGCCCGCGGCTGGGCGCACACCATCTGCCGAGACCCATGCAGAGGACAATTCCATGCCCAAGGTGGGCCGCCAGCCCCCTGCCCAGCTTTTTCTCGTGGATCCGCCACGGCTCCACGCACTGTTCTCGAGGCTGTCAGAGCCTCATGTCTGCAGGGGTGCTGCGGGGGGGTGACGGTTCAGCCTGGCCAAAGGACCTCGCGAGAGGTCGGCAGGAAGGACACATCAAACACATGAGTTTACTATTGCTCGGGCTGTTTACAGCGTTGCCTGGAGGTCGCTGCGCTGGTATGCCCTGACCGTCGGTGGTCGCTGAGTGGCCGCGCAGGTGGCGGTGGGAGAGGCTGCACTCTCTTTCTAGCCTTGAGTCCGGCATGTCCCCCTACAGGAGGAATCTTGGCTATTGTTGAGCGTGTTTGACTTTTGATGTCTCTTCCGCAATCCGCCCGTCGGACGACATGCCCGACCAACTTATAGCTGCTGGCAGAGGGCGCCTGGCGGCGGGCGACTGGTGCCTGCTGGTCACGATCGGGCAGGGCTGGGGCCGCCGCGCGCGGCGGCTGCTCTGCCCTCGCCCCTCGTCCTGCGGGCCATCCTGAGATCTCCTCCCAGGGAGTGCAGCGATCTGGATCCGAGAGCTTCGAGAAGCTCGTCCTCGTCCCCTTTGAGGGGCGCGTGGGCCACGTGCCGCGCGCGCTGCTGCGGTGCTGGCCGCCGAGCGGGGCGGCCGCGTGCTCGGCCGCGCGAAGGCAGGACCGTCGCACCGGCGCTGCTCCTCCGCCCCTCCCAGGCGGAGTGCTTCTGGTACTTCTGGAAGCGTGTCCTGGGGTGTTGACAGCAGGTCGGCCCGTATCTCCAGGAGCCCGGGGGCGCTCCCTGTGTCCGAGATCCTTCTTGTCCTGGCAGCAGGGGACGTTCTGTCTCTCGGGCTACGAAAGGTTGGCTTTCGAGTCCTTCAAAAGGCGCCAGGCGAAACGCACGCGCAGTCTGGTCGCACACTATCTGCTTTGTGCCATTGAGAACATGCCTGGTCTCCTTCGCAGCTTCGGCTTCTGGTCCTTGACTGGTGGCGTTTCCTCTTCCTGGCCCACAGCTTCTAAAGTTTTCATTTTGGTTCTCTCGGCGAGTCCGGGCATGCGTGCAGTTCCCTTTCTCCAGGGTGGATGTGATGTCTGCAGCGCCCTGGGTCTCCGCAGCTACGTGCCGTCTGGAGTCGTGTGTGTGTGTGTGCGTGTGCGTGTGCGTGTGCGTATGTGCGTGTGTGTGTGTGTGTGTGTGTGTGTGTGTGTGTGCGTGTGTGTGTGTGTGTGTGTGCGTGTGTGTGTGGGGAGGGGGGGAGGGTTCGGGGCTCCGGGAAGGCCAGTCGGAAGGGCCCTCGGACATGGACTCATCGAAGGGGTTCTCTAGAGGCTCTTACGTTCGGTCCCTTTGGTGAGACCCTGGCTGCTCCGCTCCGTCGCAATCGCAGTCGTCGTTGTAGTAGCCGTCGGTGTGTGGCCCATCATGTTCCTACTTACATTTGGGCAGCGTTGTCCCTATACTTGTCCCCCTATGTCTATTCTTCCCGTCGTGGTCCCAAGGCCAATCTTCTGTCGGCTCGTTGTACCTTCTGGCAGACTGCTGCACCCCTCCGTCTGGTGTGCGCCGCGAGGCCTCCGGGGGCCCCCGTCGCTCATTCGGCTCCCCGAGGTCGGGACCTCTGCGGTGGTTCTGGCGGGCGAGTTCGTGCCCCCTCCAGCTTCGGCCCCCGCGCGGCCGCGCCGCTCGTCTTTCTCCGACGCGCTGCCCTCTCCTCGGCCGCTGCTCGCCCTCGCCCTCGCGCCTCCTCTCCTCCTCGGAGCCTCGGTGGTCCCCGCTCCCGT